TTTTCACATTCGTAATCTCTCATCATCATATCAAGTTATGATTTTTTATTTAATCAGCTTGGTTGAAAGGTAAGTCAACATTTTCTACAGAATTTTAACAATTCTGTGATTGAGTGATTTTGTTGCAAAAACACAATATAGCTTCATTTAACACTTCCAGAATTTCCAAAAATAAAACAAAAATACTGAAGCCTTATTTTACTTTCTTAAGCGAAGTATAACATGCAAATACTTTAAATCACAATTTACAACAGTGTTCGTTGACTGATTCACTCAAGCTTACCCGGTCAAGATAAAAGCACCCCTCAAGTTAAACGCATAACCAGTTTAATGGATCAAACTCTTTGCAGGGGTAGATCTGGTAGGTGTAATTGCTTACAAATTGTATGTTTTAGGTGTCAACCATTTGAAATCATGGGGGTTGGGGTGGAATGTGTTGAAAACAAAATTTAAAAAAAAATGTTGTGAGGGATTGGATATCATGGGCAGTACAGGATGGATCAGAAGATATGACTACGACAGCAGCCATGTTGAACAGAGCATCATGGGAAAACTAATCAACATAACATTTCAACATCGCTATACTCCATATTGCCATAAAGCAGGATATAAAAAAACTAGATATCAAGAGAGAAAAATTGCATGTAAGATCTTTACAATTTTGTCAAAAGTGAAGAACAAAAATGTACAGACAAGAACAAAACATAGTTGAACTCTGGTAACCTTGCCCTTTGTTATATAATATAATTCCCTTTATCATAGTTTGTTTCAATATAAATATGCATTGTCATAATTAATTTTGAATACAAACAAGTTTTGGGGTTGAACCAACAGTGGGGAATCAGTCTACCAAATGTCCTCAAAAGATGTGAATATCTTACAAAAACATTTGTGCCTTATTTGTTTAATTATTTTAAGGGACATAATTTCCAGCTTTATTTAAAGTAATTCAGATATTTTAGTATAAAAACAAATGCCTCATCGCAGACAAAAGTGCGGCATTTAGACATGAATAGATTCATAAAACATGCAAGATAACAGAAAATTCTAGCTGGCCTTTGTCCAAGTATTTTGTACAGGTGTCTGTCAAAAATTAATGAATCACTGAGACAAATATGAACTGCCTCATTGTGTGACTACGGTACTGTGTTATATGAAAAGTAAAAAAAACACCCTCTATGAATAGCTATCATGCTGCAAGCTCTGCTTTGCATGCAAATCAACTTAAATAGTTAGTTGGTGTCCATTGGAGGGAGAAGTGTGTTTTTAAACTACTGTACTTCCCCGAGTATAAGCCAACCCCTCTGTTTTTGAACATCCTCTAGTATAGGCCCAAGGTGTTTTTACCGGGCGTCGACGACATTTATTAAAATATGCATGTAAAAAGTGTATTTCATTGCATAAAAATTATGATTGGTACAGCAGTTTGGTTCCAGCTTTTATGAGGAAACTCGCATTTATTTCAGAGTGCACGGCGGGCGAACGTACATAGTTCGCACGTTTTCTATTCTGTTATTCACTCAGGATCAACCCCGATGTTGCAATACTGAAATAATCCATATTTCTTTTGATTAGTAGTTTCTCAAACGGCAAAAATGTGATTGTCAAGACCTGGTCACTATCATTGTTTTACTTTTCCGAATAATCTTGTCCACTGAGACTATCGTGAATGGGGTGTGAATGAGCAAACTATTTTTCGACATGACTTGTTGGCGGCCGTGAAAGGTTTAAATACTTCCCTCGCCCTCAGTTTACCTTTCGAAAATTGCGAATCAACAGCTTTTAGAGAAAAAAGTTATCGTATTTTGTCGAAATCCATGATAACAGATCGCATTTTAACATCGCAGTAATACACTTCCGCATTGCGTTGATAAAAATACTTTGTCAATAATCGGAAAACTTCGACTGTGTGACAGAGCATTTTCATTGGTTAACGAAAGACGTGATCGACCTGATAGGTCAAAGGAAGTTGTTCAGGTCAAATTATGATGAAACCATGACGGATAGCTTTGTATCGAGAGTTTGCGTACGATCTTGCCTTCGACCCTTCTCCCACAGACCCTACCCATTGTTGCACCATAAATTCAGGCGGTATGTGAGCCGTATTGTAATAATTTTTTTGTTTTTTGTTCATATTTGTTTCTTCATTGTAAAAAGCATCATTGAAATCATTGATGGCTCGTTTTGCATTTTTGTTTTATCAAAAAGACGTAATATTTTCGCTGTGAACGAAAAATGTAATTTGGATAATACTTTGAGGCTGCGAAGATGGTTACAGTTTTAAACGCACCAAAATATTATTTTTTCTGAGGTGGTCCTCGAGTATAAGCCCATCCCTTATTTTTTCTGATTTTACATGTTCAGACCCATGGGCTTATACTCGGGGAAGTACGGTAGTATTATAAAAACTCTATCATTCTGTTCTAATAGCTGAAACATATTCCTGTGAGTTTTCATTTGTCAAATGAACTGTTTGTCAAATAAAGAATACATATATTTTAGTACAATTTTCTTTTCAAAATGTGGATGCAACGTTTTGCTTTTTATGTATTGTTTTTGATTTGATAACTTTGAACTAAACAGATTTTCTATTAGCTTCAGATCTTGATCAAAGTTTGGCACCCAGTTCATAGGAGTGCTTATATTGATTTTCTGACATCTTGTTTTCTGTAAAGATTTTATTGGTAGGTTTGCAAATGTGTATCAGATTGTGCACAAAATCTCTCCATGAGTTGGTTTTGAAACCCAGTATAGTATTCCCATGGGATTTGGGGGATACATTACCAAGGATATTATTACAAGATAAATGATTTGCTTCATTGAACACATACAACAATGCATATGAGATCACTGAGATCAGTGACCTTTGATGTGTATCACCAGTGATCAGTCAAGTAGAAACAGTCAAAAAAAATTATCAGATTTTCTCAATTTTTGCATGATATTTTCATACAGAACATCTGTTGTTCAAACTCAGGGAAGACTTTATACTGATGAATAAGGTGATCAAGTTAGATGAAGTTTGGAATAGAATTAGTAAAGTTATTATGCACACAATAACAATTATTAACGACGACGACGACAACAACGACAACAACAACGCCTGACAATTTTTTCCCTTAATATACCTTTCCCTTCCATCTTTGAGTCACATTGTTCACTCCTCCCAAGATTTCAAATGTTTGATGCCTTACAGTGGTAAAATATTCATTACAACTAAATCAATCTCAACCTTAATTTTATGTCTTAATAATTCACTCGCATATTTAATTATTGCTTTGAAATTGTTATGTCTTCCTTAAAAACCATTAAAGTTCCTCGTTGTTTATGCCTCGTTGTTTATCCCTTTGCTATATAAGTCGTTTATAGCTTTGAGAACGTGATCATTTTTACTTTTAAATTGCCACATTTGCTACAAACCACTGTGTATGATGTGGGTCCCATGCAACTTGTACAACAGATGCAAAACAATTATTGAAAATAAACATTTCAAAGAGAAGAGCTCAGTAAGTGGTTCACCATTAGAAACATTCCCCTGTAAAATTTTCCTAATGGACTTTTTTTTTTCTAAATCCTCCATTCCCTAAAGTTCCCAACTGTCATACACAAACATAGCAATTTCTGCAGTTTACACAATATTAAAATGTCTAATTTGCACAATCAGATGAAGGAATAATTTTTAATTAAGTTGTACATCATTAAAAACATATAGTCATAAAGACAACGTTGTTCCATTATGAAAAGATTTTAATACAATACGTGCAATCAGTGACTACAACTTTACCATCATCAGTAATTACTGCAGCTGTAGGTCGAAGCAATACTTCTCTACCACTAGAAATATTGGTTATAAATACACCTTTACTGTTAAACATCTGCACTCTATGGTTGCTGTAATCACATACATAAATATTATCATTCTTATCAGTAGTAACTCCACATGGGCAGTTAAACTTGTCGTTTGGACGGCCACTGAATGCAGACATAAATACACCATCAGATGTGAGAACCTGAATACGATCGTTCCCTGCATCTGAGACTATTAGACATCCCTTACTATTAATAAGTATAAACCGTGGGTATTTGAACTGACATGACCCTTGACCCTTACTACCAACTGACTTAATATACTTAAAACCTGTTATTTCATATAATCTTATACAATGTGCATCTCTATCAACCACATATACAATACCATTATTATGGTTGATAGCAATTCCACACAGATTCTGTAATTCTTTCCCACCAAAACACTTTATAACCTTCCCATATTGATTACATACACTCACCTGATTATTTCCTTCATTGAGTACCCATGACCCATCTGTAATGAAGTATGTATTATCTACTGATACTGCTGCATCTATGGGTCTGACTGGTTTACTATATCCTGTAAATTGAAACTGTGACTTTGGTGTGCCACAGATATATATAATCTGAACTCTCTTATTCCATTATCAGCCACCACAATATCACCACATATATTGATGCTCACTCCAAGTGGTGTAACAAACATCCCTGGTGCCTTACCTCGTCCCCCAATGGTTTTCTCTAATTTCATTGGTGCATTGATATGTGATGATTTTTGTGTTTGCTGATATGAATGTGAGACAGAATCTACCTCCATAGACTGAAATGTTCCCAGCATGCCTTTCAGTGTGATGTCGCCAGGATAAAACCGTGGAAGTGATTTATTTTTATCATTCCATGTTGTGTCAAGTGACATCATAGTTTCCAGTTGATTTGTTGTGTCTTTACTAGTTTTCATCAGCTGTGCAGCACTGCTATATTCTAGTAAATTGTTTATAAACGTTATTGTACTTGTCAGTAGTTCCTCAGTTGTTTCATACTGGTTTCTTGTTTTGTTGATTTCCTCATTAATTTTTTCATAATCAGTTTTTAATTTACTCAAGTGACTGCTTTCTTCCTGTTTTATTATTTTTGTTAATTTCTCAATAGTTTCCTGTGAATGTTGTTTTATTTGTTGTTTTCGTTGCAAATGTTGTTTTGTTAATTCTTCTGATTGTCTTGTGGCATTTATTTTGCTTTTTTTTTGCTTCACTGTGTTTTGCTTCCAAGAGTTTTATGTGATCCGTTGCCATCTTACAGAATGTATCTGCAGTCCCCTGTAAGTCGATCACTGTATGACCTTTGTGATTTGACCTCAAACATAACTGACAGATTGGTACTTGGCATTTCTCACAGTAAAGTTCAATAAGTTTGTCTTGATGAGATGTACAGTGAACTGCAAGCAATGATATCGGTTTGTCTCTTAATTTGAACTTTTTAAACTCTTCAATAGTCATAATACGATGATGTTGACTTACTGGCATTTTACTGTGAACTTTGGTGCACGTTGTACACAAATCCATAGCACAGTCTACACACCTGTTTGTTGATGAGTTTTCTTCACAACCATGGCATGTTTTATCACCTCGATGCCTTTCCTGTTCAATAATATCTATGACAGAATTAATTATCGTACTTGGTGGAAGTTGTTGCATATTACTCACAGAAAGGCGTTGTCTGCAGTTTGGGCATGTAATCGTGTCACGTGGTCCTTTCAACTTCACCAAACACTGTTCACAGAAAGAATGGTAACATGGTAAAATCTTTGGATTCTTTTAACGTTCCAAACAAACAGAACATGTCAGCAGATCTTCATCAATCTTTTCGACAGATATTTTAGCTGCCATGCTTCACAGTGATTCGTGGTTCGAGAAAGTTTCCGAAATGTGACTACGACAAACCGACTGAACGTGCCAACAAATAAACAACATACTTCCTCATCAGTCATTTACTGCAAATAATTCGGGCATTTATTCAGTATTAAAAATTACATATTCATATTTACCTGTAAGTAATAAAAGAAAGGTAAGAAGTAAAGAAACAGAACTTTAAAATAACATAAGATCATACAGTAAAAAAATAATACAGTTTGTGTTTATCAAAACACTTTCAGTTACCGTGTCACGTGTCTAATTCGTTTAGAATGGTTAGTGTGATTAATTATGATATGGGTTTCTGACTGAAAAGTGGGGATTTCTTTGGTAAATTCAGCGTACATAATATACCTTTCATCGCTGTAATAGCATCAGTCCTACATTTATCATTGATGGGATTTTAGTTCTCTTGTGTCTACCTACTTTTATTTGGAGTTTCAATTGAGACATTAATTGAATATCTTGTCATAATTTAGATATTAGACAATACTCTCCAATATACCATTTCGTTTAATTTGCCTTTATTGATCTCGTGTGTTATCCATGATAATTATTGCCACAGAATAATAACAGTTGTAGGTATTTAGCTGGACTAATATCACTTTTAAGTAGTCTGTAAGAATTGATTTTTGTATCTTGTCTCCTGATATTATTAGTTCACATGTTAGTATAATGGTTTTCAGTTTTCTGATAGAGTACATTACTAGAAACAATCAGAAAATCAATAATGTACAGGTCTTTAATTGAATATTGTACAGGTCTTTAATTGTGTTAATGCATTCAGCAGTGATTTTCAAGTTCTCTAGCCGCATCGAAGTTAAATTAAATAGACCATTGTTTTTAATGTTTTGGTAGCACTTAACGGCTAGAATTTGAATCTTAGAAATTAAAAATAGCCTGCCAGTTTCAAGTCTACAACCTGTTGTACTACTTCCATTATTACTTTTTAAAATGAGCCTGCAATATTTTAGAAGGAATTTTTCAGTAACACAAGTGTCCCACTTTTCTGTCTTAACCGATAAACCCCATAACTCAGATGCGTATAGTAAAATAGGTAATTGTAAATATTCAAAAAGTTTGATCTTAATATATAGAACAGGTAAGAGTTCAAAAATACGTACGGCACTATATGTTGGGAAACGGTCTCAGACGACTTCCAAAGTACATTTTAGGCGTTTTCCCAGCAATTTTTTGACATTTCTCGAACCTTTGCATTTTAAAAATACAACCCACTTTTAGACCATAAACGTGTCAATATTGATACCCACTTCTATACCTAATGGTGTCAAAATGATACTCAGTCGCCCACAACCCCGTATACCTTTTTTATGGAATACGCCATCCTCCAAAGGGGACTATTCCGGATTAGTGGTATTTTCTTGAATATTGCCATTTGAGTTTTAACTTCATATTCATGTATAGTGTTAGATAACCTTATAGTTATACCTAACTATTCTTCCTTGCTATGTCTAGATATTCGTTGAGACAGGATGTCCAATATCATGAAGTACAGCATATTCAAAGTAAAATTCACATTTCTGAACCAAAAATGAACTTGAATATACCGTCTGTGCATTGATTCAACAAGAAACGAACGATTATCCCATGGTCACGATATGAATATCCCAATAAATCCGGTCAGCATTTTAAATAGGTCTGCTCTCTGAAAAGGCATTTTTATTTATATCTTCACCAATACAGCTCAAAGAATAAATTATATCATTTAATTGTCGTGATTTGTTTACATTTATGATTGTAGTCACGTTTCATCTTGAATGAAATTCGATACATTACACACGCATGTGTATACAGCTGCTATTATGTTTTCCTTCGACTAGTTTTAGTTAGATTTTTTAACGATTATAATTCTCCTATAATGTTCTCTTCTTTTAATTCTCTATCAAGTGCCCTGTCTCTCATGTTTTTACAAGTCAGATTTAGAGGGACGCCACCAGTGGCGGATCCAGAGGGGGCATGTCCCCCAAACGCATGAAAATGCATTTGGATTACGCATAGCATCGTCCGAATCGCACGGTCCCGTGTCTTCGACCTATAGGGTTAGACCTTCCCCCAATACATTTTGATGGATCCGCCCCTGGGCACCACCAACAAAGTTTCGTTACTCATATCACGTAAAAGTGCAACCCTAAATAACAAAATATGCTGCATCTACCTGGTTCACTGGCGTATTTAATAATAAAGACAGAATAATTAATTACAACAGTACAGAAAAGTTGATATTATTAGCCCCACCCGTACAAAGTCCAGAATGGGCTTGTAGTTTCGCTTTCGTCAGTCTGTCCGGAGTCATTTGTCATAGATGTCTGGACCAATTTTTTCTGAAACTTGGAATAAGACATAGTGGTCAACCATACATGTGCACGTCAATTTATTTTCCGATTCGATAAATATGGCCCACTGGTTGTTTTACTTTTTTTGAAATGATCAAGTATGGCCGACTGACAGCCATATTGATTGTTAAGTATGGCTTTTGTCTGTCATTGATATTTCTCAGAGATGCCATGACTGATTTCAATGATAGGTACAAAGACACAGTGAGTGAGTATACAAATTCACATGGATTTATTTCCTGATTGGATCAAATATGGCTGCCTGGTGGCAATTTTGAATATCAAAATCCTGTAAAATCCAGTTTTTTGGGTGCTTCCATCATCATTTCTTTGAGATTCCTGGATCACTGGTACATATGAAAATATATATATTTTTTCAAGGAATCAATTCTTGAGCTCATTTGCATATTTAATTATTAATTTGAATTCTTGTTAATATCTTGTGAACTAACAGTCCAAATCAGACCAAACTTGGTAGAGACTTGATATGCCTATATAAGATATATGCTATGCAATATTGAGTTTTAATTTAGTTAATGAGCTCATTTGCATATTTAATGAATTTAAATTTTTTGTTGATATCTTGTGAACTAATAGTCCAAATGAGACAAAGGCTTGTATAGACTTACTTGATCTGTCGATATACAATATGTGCTATGCAATATCGAGTTCAACTTAATTAACTAGCTCATTTGCATATTTAATTAATTTTTAACTATTTTGTTAATATCTTGTGAATTATTAGTGCAAATAAGACCATTCTTGGTATAGACTTAGTTGATATGACGATATATTTGTGACATTTTTTCTCCAAAATTCATTTTTTTTCATAATCATGAAATAACATAAGTTATTGAACGATATAATGAACAAGTTAAGCACCATGACTGGGTCAAACCAGTCTGATTGAAACAAGATCATAATTTATTTTGTTTTTTTTCGCTCATTTATTTTTCCAAAAATTTGTATTTAATCATTTACTTTATTTTATTTGAATGTATTTATTTTGCAGGCAGAGTTTTAAAGTGTTGGTAGTTGCGAAAATACAAAAGATGTTATACAATGTGACGTGAAGATAGTTATAATACAAAATAAGATATATGTAATAATAACAAAATAATAAAAGAAATATACAAAAATAAATAAATACCTGATTGTTTTATTAAGACTTTTGTTTTTAAGTTCCCCTGAAAAGCATGTCTCTAATAAAAGTAACATTAAAATATTACTATATACATAGCTCTGGAACGTACCGAAGCATAGAAAAAGATCAAAAGTGATAAAATTATTGATTTGACTTGAAGTAATATCAATATGAATTTGAATAGATAATCACTTTGACCTTTGACATTAGAAATATCTCAAAGGTCTATGTATTGACATGGAAGTTCAGTGGTAATCGATTTCAGAGTGTTTATAAAGCACATTCACTGACATCTTTATAAGCAACGAAAATTCTCTTTTTGTATTTTATATGTCTTGTAAATTTTGCACATAATAAGTATTTACTTGTGATGGAATGTTATAGAAAAATTAACAACCTGAAAGGATATCATTTCCGGTAATTTTTGCCGAAATTTAGCCCCCCAAAACCTATTTTCTGACAAATATTTAAGAATCATTTTCCCGAAATGTTGACTTATACCTCATGAATTTCAAGAGGAAAGTGTGAGCAGCACACTATGTACATCTTTTCTATATGTGTGCCACCGATGTTTTGAATCACACCGCTGCTGTGCTAATCTCCTTCTGAAATTTCATTTTACAAATGAATCTCTAAAATTCTTGGCTTTTTACAAGAAATATAACAAGATCCACACCGCCCCTAACCCAAACCCTAACCCTCAATATCCAATGTAAGTATTTTTGTACTTCCAGATACGTGTTCTGAAGAGGGCATGTACACTTATAATAGGGGAGGGCCACTGGAAGGGCGATGTTATTATTTAATTAGTTACGGTGAGCGGGGCCCAAGTAAGTCTTCTTGATTATTGTAACTATGGCATTATGTACAATAATATCAACAAAATCAACAGAAATAATACACATATACACACAAGTAATTTTATACAAAAAAATGTAATATGTTAATGTCACACACATACATGTAAAATGGGTTGAAATACAATGCTGAGAAAAATGCGAAAATAAAGTACAGTTAAAGGCAACCAACTCGTATTCATAATTTGTACAAAATACATTTCATGATACCGCAGTTAATTTTTATCTCTGCATTTCCCTCACATGTGACATATGCGTCATGTTGTATGATGCCCATATAAGGATATATGCAAATCAATGAAGAATTCCGATTTGTACATACTGTATATAGACACACTCTATCTGTACTACAAGGTGATAATGTAATGCATGTTAAACGACAGAAAGTTAAAGTTGAGTCACCTTGGCATTCACAAATACTACCCAATTAGAACCATCACCATAATACAAACCTCGGCATCAGAGCGACGTGCTAACATTTTGGAGTGATAATGTAAACAACAAACTCCTCTACAGATTTTACAACAAAATGGACGGACCTGGAAAATTGCACCAAATATTTCTCATCACAACGTTATATTACATGATATAATAACAAGAATTATTTCTACAAACCAATGTCTATTACCGGGTTTTTATACGATGAAAGCTTTGTAAAATTGTTTCCTATTAACCAAAACTGTCAATATTTATTGTAGATAGATGGAAACTGGTAATCATAGTCCTTGATAGTCATTCATATAACCAGACATAGAAGTATCTGATTAACTATTTTGTTTTGCTTCTATTGAATAATTACCAAAGACTACGATCACCAACTACCACTTAACACAACTGTCAGTTTTGCAGCTTTTAACTTTTTTCAATGTTTCTTGTTTACTGATTTATGTAAACAATTTATTTGATTATAAAGTTGAAAAATTTTCATTTTTATTAATTCTAATCCTGCATCTTGTTGAGATGCAAATATTTGTGTTGAATATAAAAACAATAACCACAATTCTGTCAGCGTATTAATCCATTAACTGGTGGCAATGAAAGTGGTTGTCCACAGAAACAACATCCACCACAAGCATCATGGATCAAAAAAGGAATAAACAAATTCTTTACAAAATAACAATATTACGACAATGTGCAAAAAAATCACAAAAGCAAAAACAAATTATCCCACTCATAATTGTTGTATTTATCAATTCAGAGGTCAGTTCAATATTTGAGGTCAATGTGTAATTATATACCTGCAGTTAGGTGTATATAAAGTTATATACCTCCAGATAGTTATACATGTATATATAATTGTATCTCTATTCAGATGTACATACACATGTAGTTTATATACACCTCCAATAAGGTTTATAATTAGTTCTACACCTCCACTTGTGTATATACATACTTACTACTTTTCTGTAGTAAATATATGTATTTAAAAACCTACTTCGCAAGAAATCCAATATATCAATAAATACATAATTGTTACCATACATGTACTTGTAACAGTTGGAGAAACTTTGTCTCAAATTGAACGTCCATGATTTCAATTACATTAAGGCAGCTTTTTGTTTGGCTCATTATTTAGGTGAAACTCATGATTGAATCATAATTACATAATAATACATAATACATAATTACAGTATTTTCTGCCACAGTAATTTTTATTTTAAATATTAGCAGCAATTTTTTGTAACTCTCTCTCAAAACCCACTTTTAAACAATTCATTTGAAATTTGTGTCGTTAAAATGTACACAAAGGTACAATTTTCACTGGCAATAGTTCATATTTAAGCCACAGTTAAAGATCTTGTAAGGAGCGGTGGATGTGGATGTTTCTTTGTATCATGCGTGTGATCATCATAGAACGTATCGGTTGCCTTGATACTCCTAGAAGAAGAAAAAGAAGTCTTTATTATGACATGTATTCAACCTTACATTTATTTAATGTGCTTTTACAGATAAAGTTGTAGTACATTCAAATTTGTATCAGTAACCATAATAACACCATTGGCAAGCGTCAATGTAATTTACATGTGACATGTATATAAAGGATCAATGTGTTTAAAATATTGTACACCGTGTATTTTATTTTATATATTTATTTTACTATTTTTATTTACTTATTTTATATTTTTTTACGTTTTTTGTTCTGTACTTGTGATTTGGTATATTTTTAACTATGACCATTGGCTTTCGCAATTATCAAAACTTCAAAAAACTATCGAAAAAGAAATACTAGATCAAAAAAATGAAAAAACAATCCAAAACTATCGGGGTAGGATTTTATTTTAATCCCATAAATAAAGGCCATGTGTCCATTGTGACCAGTAGTAACCCCTACGACACCAGTTTGGTCAAATAAACCCATGTAAGACTGTAATGATGGTTGTATAATTGCATTTTTGATTTAATCTGTCATCTGTTGATGAATTGCTTCTCAAACAAAAAAAATATGTGTAATCTTTTACATTAATCAACCTCCATATAAAGACCACTTGTCTATAATGAACAGTTTATTTAAAGTGCATGTGAGTCGTCAGCTACGTACGCATGGAAAATTAGTCTTAGAAAAGGCTTGTTGGTACATATTTAAGTGTGAACAACATCACGTTATAGTCGTCAACCGTATGCGCAGGTGATGATTCCCCTGCTTTAATAATGTTTAATAATCACTATAAACTGAACCAGTACTTATGGTGGACCACCACAGTCACTATACTGCAGTAAATCTTACCTTGCAACGTATGGATGTAAATGTCGTAGCTGTGCCGTGGTGTCAATATCATCACCCAGTGTATGAACTGCTGTACTACGTGTAAATCCATTCGGTAAATGTTCCATGACTGATCCAAATGTACGTCCAGCTCTCGCTTTACCTTTAGGATTCATGTCCCAGAACCTGAAAGTCATGAAATCACAAATGTATAATGATATGATCTACTTAAATTATTTCTACAATGAACATTCGAGATTTGATTATTTAAAGAACACTTTTCTAGGTATATGTTGAACATTTATTGGATAATTGCCAAAACATCTTTTGAACAGATCACAAATATTTCCATATCATATGTGGCACACTTCAACTGTACAAGAAATTGACAACAAAATGTTTGAGATACAGATTTCAAACTTACATGATGATAAGAAGCTAAATATTTTGAGAAGTTTTTGATTGAGTTCCACTGCTAAATTAATTAAGGTTATTTTAACATATATACAACATCCTCAGGATAAGTGAGAAAAATTAAATCTGATAAGAACCCAATGGAGCTTTTTAATACGAATATGTCTACAAAGATTTATCTTTTACATACGTGTTTTCTATACTACATATTGAATCAAAAGCCGGCTTTTAATGAAATTAAATTCCATCAACAAATCTACAGTTTTCAAATTAATACACTTCGGTTTGAGAACACATACTTTGTGTATTTATACAGTGGACAGTGATATATTAGGAATACACCATAGCTGACTAGCTATATACCATACCTTGTATCATAGTGTGTCAACCACCTCCTTGGATCATCTTCACCGTATGCCTCCTCCTTATCCTGGTTACTACTGTATCCGGATGATTCCTAAATAAAATGAAATAAAATTAGAATTTTGTTCACTTCAGCATCATTCACTAATATGCAAATATATCTGTTATTGTTTTGTGAAAAAAAAGCCACTGCAAGTTTATCTATAGAAGGCCATCCAAGCAATTATTATTAATATTATAATTAATATTTCTTTTCTGTGACACACATGGCATTATTTGAAATTAGGTCATTATTATTATGTATGCTAAAAAATATCCATGACTGAAAATCAAGAGCAACACATTTTTATGAAAACAAATGCATAATACATTCCAACACTAGATGGCAGTATACATACCTTCAAACCAATTGCAGTTTTTGCCAGTCTATCACATTCACTTGGTGATGGTCTCTGTTGACCTTGGAAAGCTTTCATAGCCATAGATGAATGGTTATTGGGATGGGTCAGGTTCAAATACTCAGCTGGGTCTCCTTTTTGAATTCGGGCACGAGCAGCCTCTGGAACATCGTGTAATTTGGTGTATGCCTATTGACGAGATCAGAACATGGCGATCAGTCATATGAAAATACTTAGATAGAAGTCTAAGTTTTAAAACAAGGTTTATTGCTGAATACTTACATCACCGGGAATTGGATTAACGTAAAGAGGTTTGGCCACTTCTCGTGTAAAACCAGTGTCCCTGGTAGAACGGTCTATGACAACTGGTAATTTTTCATTTCCCTGAAAAAAAAACATTGTTTGTATGAATAAACAAACAAGAACACATACAAATCAGTGTGTATATATAGATCAATCTAATATGATATGGAATGAGGTCATTATTCATAATCAGTTCAGTTGAACGATAATTTTTTGTCTGCCCTAATATATATGCAGTTCTATTATTTGAGTAGACTGGGATACTTTTACTCACACGTAGGTATTCAGATGGCTGGTAGTCAGTCTTCATAATAGTCCTGTTACCAATTGGTCTGTCTGTCATCCAACCCTGTTGTTTTAAATAAATTATTAGTTTTAAAACAGAACAATATATAACAAATAATCCTATTGGTTAAATAAACAGGCCTTATCTGACTCAAACAGCTTGATTGGTCATTAATTCAGGTCACTTGTTACAACTGATCTCATTGGACCAAAATAAATGAATTCATCTAAAACAAACAAATTTATTGGTCGATATATTCAAATCAAATTGCAATACTCACAGGTCTAACATTCTTATGTGGCGATGCAGGATGGAAGGTGATTGGTTCAATGTTATAAGCGTGCGTATATCCCGTCTCTTCATTATTGCCCACCGATTTATGTTGTGTATTCACTGAGGAAGTAAACAACAAACACACAAATAAGTAATAGCCAACATATTTGTTTGTTTATTGAAAGGCAGTGGTCATATGGCATGTCATGTTCAATATACAATACATTCAAGTTATACCTGTCATTCACATGAAATTCAAACACACACACTGCCCTAACTTTTAAACATATTCATTTGGTAGAATACATTACTTCATTGACACAGTACATATCAATTTTCTCATTAGTGACTGGATGGACTATGATTTTGATTTAATTAATGAAATCTGAATTTCTGAAAAAGATGGACAACAACGAAACAACAATAAGAATTCTAGATATTTTGCTGAAAGAAAAGTTCAAAAAAATAATAAGGAGATGATGACAAATTGATGGGGTTCCTGAACTTGTTACCATGGAAACAAAAACTATGTGGTTTTCGCTGCAGTGTTAAGCCCTTTGTCTGTAGGCCACTCTGAATTGAATACAGGTCATGAAATACATTTCAGCTTGAGGTTCAAATTTAAAAACAAGTTCTGTACATTCGTTCAGTGCCTGTGAGTGTTATCCGTGCCCACCATTAAAATAAAGACATAAAATTACTGTGACAATAAAATAAGTTACCGTAACTGTTAACAATGTTAACCCTTTGAGCACCATATTGTTTTCCAGCTTAAATTTAGGTAATTTTTTTCTGTAATTTTCACTCAATTTAATATTTAACAAACAAAATGTGACAATGCTTCTATTTTTGAAATCTTCACACCATTTCATAAAGAAGAGAACATACTATGAATGGTACTATTTTATTGAATGGTGTCTTAAGTTGACTTGGGCACTCAAAGGGTTTAATACTAATTTATTAAGAAATTTATACTTATCTTACATTATTCTAAACTATACTCTATAATCTATAACAATTACAGACAGCATCTTATATTATTGTTTAAACATATAACTAAACTAATGAACACTACGTTGTACATTATTATATACTTGAAAAATGTCAAATGGATAATACATGTATAGAACTTGAACTTTGGAGGTGAAAGGTCACCGACTTTCAAAGTCAAAATTTAGCACATAGCACATAGAAATTGCTGCATATATAATAATATTTCAGTCTTAGTCAGTTGATACCGCTGTTACTATAGAATATTTATAGACTTCTGCACAATTTGTCAACAGAATAATTAAAAGAGTTTGATATGAATTAGAAATCAAATCTACTGAAAGTTGACAACATAGTAAAATCACTATGGAGAATAAAACACCAACAATACTACGTGTATAAAGGAATTTATCTAACTTGAAGCGCACAGTTGCCGCACTGCATCATGGGTACCATGTGATGTAAATAACGCAAATCAAATACATCATTTGTTTACATGACATATGAACCCATGCTTCATGACAACTGTGACAAATTAACATTGATGGGATTTTTTAAGATTAAATGATTACAAAACATATTTGTTTGATTATCTTACCATGTACTGCATAGAGAACACATGTATAATGAAGTCAGCATGCGTCAATGAATCACGCCAATGTAAGACACGTAAAGTACGTGGCAATGACACATTTTTAAAAAAAATGTATTATATTGGTTATCATGCAGCAAAGAAAGGAAGAAAACACATCACCCAGTTAGTAAGAAAACAAGCATGCAGTAATAAAATAAGTAATATATAAAAATAAATTTGTTATTATAATTGATTATTGTATAATTTTGATTATATATGCAATTGATTATCATTTTTAGACAAAAACATGAAACGATATGATTCACTTATGATTGTTGTTGCACAAATGAATAAATTTTGAAAAAAATTATTAATAGATTCCAAGCTATTTAATTCTATAGACGAACAAACTTAAAAAAAGTGAAAAGCATAAACAGTGATTAGCATTCCCTCTATTGATTATGAATAGCGCCCTCAATATTTCCATCACCAAAACTTTTGTTTTTAATCCAATTTTAAAAGCTGTGTATTAATTGCAGCAAAACCCAAAAAGTGAAGTTCAAGCTTGTGGTATTTATAGTCTGTGCAGTTTGTTTTATAGAATAGTGAACTAAACACTTTACCATTTATTGAAATGGTCGGATAATACTAAAGTATAATACGTACACTAGAAATGCACGGCAATATTTATTCACGTTTACAAATTATAAATGCCAAATAATGTGCAATAACAAAAATAAAGTTATTATTTAGGATTTGTTTACAAATTCAAGTGTTTATTATGATTGCATACCCATGACAAATGAAAGTCTGGTAACAAATGCAAGTGACAAGACTGGCGATTTGAAGATCGTGTCTTTTTATTTTGTTTTTGACAAAGTCTTGGCAACATCAAATGCAGGTTTATTCTATGAACGTAATTTTTATGAATGTATTTCACTCCAGTGTCTGAATCGAAGGACCTTATGAATAAATTAATGACGTAATGCTCATTTATAATTAACGCTGTTAAATAGTTACTATGTTGCAAATCATTAGCACAGCAAGAAAACACTTTAAAAAAACAGAGTAATACTATTCATACTTACACTTGGCATGGGGCATACCCTGGAAACGTTCATGTGTCTCCGTTGACATGAACCTTGGACCCTGTAAACAAATCATAATAATTCAATTATTCATGTTCTAAAATGAAGAGGGGAAAAAAGTCTTGTTGCTTTTTCCAATCAACAGGTGGTTTTCTGGGACCTATTTTTTTGTGCTTAAATTATTTTCATTTCTGATATTGGCTACATGTATGTATTTTTGCATATTTATTTTTCCTTATTAATTGTAAAAAGTAGACTTCCATTGTATGCAGTCACAGGGTTTCCTCTGAGATTTTGATAGCACCATGTGATGATGGCCGATTCTAAGCCAATCATAATTATTTTAAGGTTTTATTAGCCCCTCCACAACACTAGTATAAACCTATGACCCGAAGCACACTAAATCACTGTTTGACCTCTGACCTTCTGAATACACAGTATATTCCCAAGCAGGTATGTGTGACAGGACAAGAATGCAACTAATTCAATGAGATCACAACAACAAAAGGCAATGACAGGAACCAAATAGTTTGTAATTCCAATTTATTGACCTGGAGAGCAATAGCGACAACATAACAATAGACTATTTGAAATGTATAGGTCAGGTAACACATCTCAGATAATAATCGAAAAAAAGGGAATTTTATGTAAAGAGGCTCAAACTTCAGTGATTCATTAGACTGACAATTTCAGTTTGTTAATAGAATTTTGAATTTCCATCATACAAAATTCCTTCTTCTTCAAATAACTTTTAACTGCACAAAAGATAAATCAATTTTTAATAACATAAATATATTATTATGTACATAACCATATTTATTCTATTAGAAACTCATGTTTCATATAATCACTTTAACTTAGCAAGAAACTATTTTTGTGAGTCAGTGAAAATTTGTCTGGGGTTCTAAGACAGAGTATCAGTGACTTTTGCAAATTTTTGTCTCAATGAATGCCATGAAATCATCAAATCATGAAAAATCAAAACAGCGTAACAATTAAACAGTTTACAATATACCAGTATGTAAGTTAAATGTATTATACTAGTGTACCAACCTAACACTTTCATTGTAAACTGTTTTGAGTGTTTACATACTTGTAACGTCATACACTTCTTAAATAATGTAAACAAAATCTTGTAGGATAGTCTGAGTTACTGAATTTAATCTGTATACTTTACAGAGTAAAGTGACTTTATGAACCACAATACCATGCATGAATTTACAAGAAACAGTAAAAAAAATGAAGAAAAATTTTAGTTAATAAAGTTCATTGTAGATACCAGTAATTAGGTCACATGTCTGGTGAGTGAACTTTGCTCAGATCAGGGATTGTAAATTTATAAACCACAAGTGACATATCTGAAAAGTTAAAGTCAAGTTTTCATTCGATTTGATTTTTGTTATCGAATGAGTGGACATAATCCTATAGTTTGTCAGATTGTATTTAAAGGCCATGTTAGCCATCCCTGGGAAGACCCTAATAATGCATCAGTGTTTTTCATCAGGTAGAGGAGTGCGATAGTAGCAGGAACTTAACATTTTTGATTTTAGTTACGTCAAATACCTGACCAACAGGCTACAAAACATGTCAAACAAGTGTAGGGATAAAAATAACCAAGAGAAAATAGACAAATTTCCTTCTACTGGAATTATTGTTTTTATATTATACTATTTCATTCATTGAACTTCATTTTACTGTGTTTACCACAATAATGCCTAGAGCATGAAGGGAAATACAGCAGTTTAGTTTTAGGAAATGGCTGACGAGATCTTGATAAGAGCGAGAGAGTTGAGTTGTTTTTCCCTAAAATAGTGTTTTATTTCCCACATGTGCCACAATCGTGTCTACTGTTCAATACCATGGTACCATTCATAGGTCAAGAGAACAGTCAACACGATGATAAAAACAATAATACCATATTTAATTCTCAATATTAAAAAACTAATAAATAAACTTACGTGTCCAACATTTTCAAGTTCTACTGGGTCTTTAGATCTGAGATGATGTAATCGTGGTTTGTGTTTGGGTAATACACCACTGGCAGTTATTCCGGGACCATGATCACGCGTATCAACACATACACTATGTACCTATAATTGGAAAGATTATTATAATAATAATAATAATATAAAACACAGAGCAATACACTTTAGTGTTCAGCTATATCTATATATTATTTAAAGCTACTTTTAATTAAATATTTGTTTTCATTTAAGAACGAAATATCAAACAAGCAAGCTCCACTGTTAGCAATGCACATTTCAATTAGAGAATTGAAGATATCATAACGAAATGAACAAATCTGAGTGAGGTCCATCTGAGCACAGTCTGTCTGTGATCTGAGATACCTATATGTATAACATCAAAATATTGCACTCGTTTCAGGTTTAAAAGATGTACATTTTAAAATGAAATGTAATGCAATTTATTTTATGATGTGTGTACATGCAGAAAAAACAAATTTTTGACAAAAAAAGCAGGAGAAAATGCTTTCTATGTCTGTTTTGTAAAAGCTTCAGATAACCAGAACTAAATGTTTTGTTGTAGTGCAGATATACAGTGACCACACCCTTAGTCAATAGAATAGGACTAGCCAGTGTTTGTACATTTGGTGTTTGTATGGTAGGTGTTAAGTGAGAGACTAGGGTGAAGACATACAGTAATTTACCATACAAAGAGTTTTAACATTAATTCTACTTACATCTCGCACTATTGGTGTTGTTATGGGAACCTGGCGAACAAACCCACTCCCAGGCATGTGTAGATTGCATGGTAAGGGGTCAGTGCCGTCGGAATCTCTGGACGATTGGTAATGCTTAGTTGTAATAGAGTGGTAATTGTCAGCTACGATACGTCTGAAATTAACAGATTTATGGTTTAAAATTAAAATCTATTACTGCATAAGTAACTCAGTTAATTCTGCATTAAAATGCTTTCAACACTCAATTTTGTTGGACTTCAGAAACATTTTTACTGCTACAAAATTTCACTATTTTAAAGTGAGAGGGTCGTCACCTGCGCACACGCGGGAATTGAGTCCCAAGCGATGATAACGACACACACTAAGAAGACAAAGGCTCATGGGTAGATGCTTGTTTGTAAACATGACAGTTTTAACTGACTCACATAATTTATCTCTTGTAAAATTGAAGTGGTATACAATAGCACAATAAAGTGATTTGGGGAAAATTATAATAATTTTATCATTAAAACTGAATTGTTATGACATTTTTTTGTTTATGTACACAATGTGTGGTTATTTATTTCTTTTCTTACCCCATAGCTGGATTGTCCAAGTCATCCAGTCTTTTGGTGTAATACACTCCAGGTCGGAAGTTTGACTGGTAACCGGTTCCAACATGCTTTCCATATCTGGGAGTAAATGGATCCTTGCCATACTTTGTTGAATAAATAGTGGAATAGAACTTCATGAGATCAGTGTCTGGACCATAACTGGCACAAACATGAGGATTCTTCCTGCCCCAGGGAAGCCGACCCATAGTGAATTACTCTGTATAAAAGAACAAAATAATTTAAAATATGAGAATTAATGCAATACGATAATGTGTTATTTAAAATAGTTTATGAGGAGAGACATTTCACAAAGTAATCTTACAGCACTGTTTTGTACTGTAAAATATTTTCTTTTAGCTGCTGTTCATTTTCGCTGAGAACACTATTCGAGTGTTTTGTATGGAATTTATTTTCACTGATTTCTGATGAGTTAAATGTATAATATTGGAAAAAAGGTATTTTCGCTGGATTTTTATTTTCACTGAATCATTCCTTCAGAGAAAATAGTGAAAATTAATTCCAAGTGAAAATAAAGTATTCTACAGTACTTTAAAACCTCATGTATGGCAGAACCAAACACTAGTGTATTAGTGTAGAACTTTTTGTTTTAGTTTGAACTGTGGAGTTTATAATATTTATAAAGCTGAAAAAAAAATGTTCATAGACTGTGGTTTGTATGCTGAGAGTACTGCACTATCACAATGGGCCATTCCAGTTTATATCTGCACCCCCCCCCCCCCCTGTTGATGTGGTCGGATTTCCAGCACTGTATGAGACGAGTATG